CCCGATGCGGGACTCGATCCCGGGACTCCAGGATCATGACCTGAGCCGAAGGCAGTCGCTTAACCAACTGAGCCACCCAGGCGCCCCGAGCCTCTGACTCTTGATTTCAGCTTAGGTCATGATCTCAGGTCATGAGATTGAGCCCCACATGGGGCTCTGCACTCAGGGCAGAGTCTGCTTGTCCTGTCTCCCCCCAACCAAAAAAATCAATCTTTTTTAAAAAAGAGAGAGGTGGGGTTTTCTTTTCATAATTAGGCAGGAAAGGATTCTCTAACTCTGAACATTTAAGAGATAAAACTGAATTCTTACTTTTTCATTTAATAAACATTTATTGAATAAATACTACAGTATATAAAGCTCCACTGGTAAATAAAAACAGTAGCATTCTTCTCTTAAGGAAATAAACAGTGAAAATGTAGAAACGGAGGTAAAAATAAAATTTTGCAAACAAAATACAGAAGGTGAACAACAGTTGAACATTCCCACTACAATTATAAACTTAATGGCTGTACTGACAGACATAAAAGTTATCCTGCCAATTCCGTGTACGATACAGCTTCCATAACTTTGGGTACTCAAGTGGACAATCAATTGTGAACTGGGGGATTAATAACTTTTAGGATACCTGGGAGGAAGGGAGCCAGAAGACCAACTGATTGCTTTCATTAATTTACATTTACTACAAGTATTTATTTTTAATTTGTGGGTCACCACCTTCTAGAAAGGATCTGAAGTAACTAAAAAATCAAAATAAATGTAAGAAATGATTAAGGTATATTTTAATAAATTATTGATAAGTGAACATTTATACATATATGCAAAATTCTATAGCACTTAAAAATTTATTGTTAAGTACTTAATCAGTCCAAGAAATTATTTACTCCTTTTTTTTTGAAGATTTTATTTATTTATTTGTCATTTGGAGCACGAGCAGGAGAAGTGGTAGGCAGAAGGAGAGGGAGAGTCAGGTTCCCCCCTGAGCAAGGAGCCCGATGCGGGACTCGATCCCAGCACCCTGGGATCATGACCTGAGCCAAAGGCAGACGCTTAACAGACTGAGCCACCCAAGTGTCACTCTTTTTTAATATTTTAGTACTTTGGCCATGAACTATCTTTAATGGCTCTAGCAGTATTTTTAATACTTTCTGATGAAATACAGTATAAAGAAAAGTATATAAACAATTCATAAACAAGTTTAATAAACAGGTGTGCAGTATCCATGCAACCAACATGCAGGTGAAAAGAGGGCTGGGGGATGACAACATTGCCAGCATCCCTGAAGTGCTCCATGTGCCCTCCCCTTGTTATAATACCTCCCCTTTGCTCTTGAGATAACATCTCCTAACTTTTTTAGAAAATCATTCTCTGATTTTTAAAATAGGTTTACCATCTGTGTATAAAATATTATAATTTAATTTTGTCTATTTATTTTTCTGGACAAAACTTCTGTGTCATGCTCGTGTTTCATTCATCCTTACATTTTAGAGTCCTCCACACTGCTGCATGCAGCCATAGTCCTACACTTTCATGACTAATTTTTCAGTCTAGGATTACATTATAATTTGTCTATATCAGTGATAATGGATATCTGAGTTGTTTCTACTTTTTCTAATATAAGCAATGCTGCTGCGACTCCAGATACACATCCATTCACTTTCAGTAAATAATTCCAAAATGTTTTCAAAAGTGATTGTACCCAGGGACACCTGGGTGGCTCAGTCAGTTAAGCGTCTGCCTTCGGCTCAAGTCATGAGCCCTGGGATGGAATCCGCATCGGGCTCCTTGCTCAATGGGGAACCTGCTTCTCCCTCTGCCTACCGCTCCCCCTGCTTGTGCGCTCCCTCCCTCCCTCTCTCTCTCTCTGACAAAGAAAGAAAGAAAGAAAAAAAAGTGGTTGTACCCATTTACACCCCCACCAGCAGTGCAGGAGATCCTGTTTTTATGAGTCATCAGACTTTTTACCAATCTGATAAGCATGTAAATGACATCTGATAGTTTTAGTTGACACTCCCCTGATTACTAATGAGGTTGAACATCTTTCTATATTTATTGGCTATTTGGATTAGTGAAGTGTCTGGATGTTGTCTGTTTATTTTTCTTTTGTCTTGGCTTTTTTCTTATTAATCAGTAGGATTAATTTTTATTCTGGATATTAGTACTTGTTCTGTGTTGAAAACAAATAGGTACCTTTTCACCCTCTTTATTGTGTAAATTAGTTACCATTAGTTTCACAAACTCAAAAGAAACTAAGAGAAGTTTCAGACTATTTCCTGTCTGTACTTTACAAACTACAAATATCATCAGGTAATAGGGACTTAATATACCTCCATCAGCTAAGTATTTAGTTACCTAGTAATTACATCAGGTAAAAAAATTACCTGGTTTGTGACATCCCCAAAAAAGACAAGCACCTCTGATTGGAGGAGCTTACAGCTTTGTTAGGGAGATGACTGCATATAGATGCAATCGTAAGAGCAAGAAAGAGAAAACTGTTTACCAACCACGGGCTGACATGGGGGTGCAAGCTATAGCACTAGTAACACATTCTTAATAGTTCAAATATGCAAAACTACATTTTAAACTGTGCTGTCTTGTCCTCTCCATGGCATCCTCTACCCAGAAGAATTCCCAAGACTCTCAACTATAGTTGGCTAGAATTCAGAATCTAGGCATGCAGAAGGGAATTTCAGTAGGAGACAATCCAAGTAAAACTAAACTAGAATTCAACTCTTCATTACAGTCAGGGCAAATAACCCTCCTAGAAACCTAGAATCATTCTGGGTCATTCCTCTATCTGGGCAAAGTTTTATCCAAAGCATTCTAATTCCAGAATAACTTCAAGTTCATACCTAGAGCAACCCATGACGACTGGATTCATGTTACACCTAATTCAGTCTATAATGCCAAAGCCTACACTGACACCGACACACCATTATCAGAATAAACACAAGCAAACAAAGAAAAGGAATGCTTATACTTTGGTGCCTTGGGATTGTTCTTGAATCTTATCAGATAGAAAGCCTTCTGATAATGGTATGATGGAGGTATAACACTGCCTAAGAAACCATCAAATTACAAGGATACTCCCCACCAATAATACAGTTTTTTTAAAAAAAAATGCTTATTCTGTAAGTTTTGAGCACAGGAGATAGCCAAAGGTAAGTATTTATGGAGATTTTAGCCTAGGTCAACACGTTTAATGACTATTTTGTGGCTGTTCTGATTAACTATCCATTACAGGAAAGTGAGAGTTAAAAATAAAAGCAATCTTAATGGAGCTTAAAGAAATATTTCCTGCAACAGTCAAGTCAAGAAGGCTAACAGGCTATGACCCAGTGACTCCACTTCCATGGATACACCTTGAAAGAAACATGTGCAGAAGAGACATGTACAGATACTAACTGTGACATTAATAGCAAAAGCTTAAAAACACTAGTGTTCATTAGCAGGACTATATATAAATAAGCTTATATGAAAAACTTTATAGCAGTTAAAAATATGTTTACATATTTATCCATGTGGATCAAATTTTAAGAGTAAAAAAACAAACTGCAGAAATAAACATATTACACCATTTCTAAAACTGTACAAAACAACTTAATAAATTTTAAAATTTATTTTCTGGCGCACAGAAACATTGGCTGTTAGGACCACAACTGTCTGAGTTGGGAGAGAATGGAATGATCTCTACAACTTGCAGTGCAACATAATGGTTAAGAGCAAAGACAAGGGCCACCTGGGTGGTTCAGTCATTAAGCGTCTGCCTTCGGCTCAGGTCATGATCCCAGGGTCCTGGGATTGAGCCCCACATCGGGCTCCCTGCTCCGCAGGAAGCCTGCTTCTCCCTCTCCCACTCCCCCTGCTTGTGTTCCCTCTCTAGCTGTCTCTCTCTCTGTCAAAAAAATAAATAAAATCTTTAAAAAAAAGAAAAGAGCAAAGACAAGAACTAGTTCATTTCCATTACCTACTGGGTGATGCCTTAGTGTTCTCATCCGTAAAAAAAGGAAAAATCCTTGTGCCCAATTTCAGGGCTTATTCTGAGAATTACATGAGTTAATGTGTCAAGTGCTTAGCAGAGTGCCTGGCAGACCATTACGGTATATATGCTTTCCAAGAAGACAGCTGAAGCACACACAATACTCTAAAGAAAATGTGTTCATCTTGGGTGGTCTGAAAACATGCGTATTTGTTGAAATTTTCCTTTTTGGCACTTTTTAAATGGCCTTTTTTATTTTTCAATTGCCCTTTCCAATGCTTTTTGCTATCTCTATCTTCTTACAGAATTCAGATGTTCCACAATTAATTCTCTCCAATTAATTTGGGCTTACTGACATCACCTTTTAACCATTACATTTTTATCCCCTTGCCCCAATACGTCTTCTATCTCCTCATCTAAACAGTAATTTATACTTAATTTATGCAGCCATTTATAATTCTTACTGTATTGGTTCCTAAAAAGCCCAGGCATGAGCTAACTGCTAAAGAATCATAGGGGAATTTGCTGACTAATCCCCTCAGTCCCCTAGTCCCTGCTCCTAGCCCTCCACTAAGATTCATAGGTCTGGGGATGGACCTGGAAATGTGCATTAACTATGGGCCCTGCCACGTGGTTCTGAGGCTGAGAAATACTGTTCTGGTGAAGGAATCCTCAGAAACAGGGAGGGGGGATTTTAAAAAACAACACAAAGTCTTTGTCCCAGGTAAGAGTCCCTTTATTAACAAGATGGCTCTTTCCCCCAGTAGTAACTGAGGTGAGCTGGGGTAGAAAAAAGGTTATCAATTACTATGCTAAGTAAGCTAGTAGATAAACATTTTATTTGTACTTAGGATTAGGAGTTTTACAGGCTCCAAAAAAACTATTAGCCCATGTGTTTACAAGATGACTTCAATAGTTCTTAGTACCTAATTCTAATCTCTATGAACCTGAAATAAAAATAGCAACCATACTTCTTTTCCTGATTACCTCATCTGATCCTGACTTTCTCTGGTTGTAGTTTGACTTTTCAAATTTCAATCAGAAAAGCTACCTCCCTTCTGAAAACATATATAGTAATAAAAGCTGAAAGAAAGGATAAAACACTTACTGAATCCTTCTTACGGGATCGCTCCTTCTTCATTTTTCCTCCTGCTGCTCTGATACTGACTCTGTTCTCTCCTCCCAGGTAACCTCGGCAATTAGCTGACCCACAGAAACATTTCTGAGCTTCTTTTCTATTTAAAGAGCATAGAAAAGATGTCAGTTATGTGAAAGTAAACCATACAAATATGTCAACAATATAACAATCACATACGAAAGAGAAGTCAATTCAGCCTAAAACAAGTAATTATTTTAAGAGACTTCAAAAAACCTGATACTACTTAAAGAAATGCCTGAAAACTGCTCTTAAAAAATATTCTTTTTCCAACGTTCCTTTATTAAAATCAGCCAAGAAGTTAATGAGTAATTTCTCCATGAGTACCTACTAATGTATAAAAATAAAAGATCATATACATATTTGAGCTGAGAACAAACTGCTTAATTAGTTCAACATCTCTTATTATGTAAATATTTGACTGGCACACAGAATAAACAAAATGTATTCTTATAAATACATATACACAGATATAAAATTCAGTATGTCCAAGACACTTAAAAGGAAACACATGATTATTAAAAGTTACCACATAAGGATGAGATACTAATAAGAAACATACTAATAAGTAAATATAACCATGGAGTCAAGGAAAAGTGGCGGAAAGAACAGAGACCTAAGTCTACAAGCCTGGGTACAAACCACCATGGTCATTCATTTATTCTGTGACCTGAGAAAAGCATGAAAAACTGTACCAAAGTAAACTGATAGATTTAGTTTATTTATTAAAATAAATTATTAATAAATATATACAAATAATAATGAATATTAATAAATTAGTCCATAAATAGAGCAGGACATCACAAACAGCACTTGATTTCTAGTACCCCTTCCTTCAAAGAGGACAGTGCAAACATAAGAGGAAAAAGTATGGAGCCCTACATACAACGTGGTCTGCACTCATCCCCTGACTGCTACACCACTGACTGCCTAGATCCATTAGTTCACGAGATGCTGCAAAATGGTGATACCGTTACTACTTCATTTATTAGCTGAAATGATCTCCAAAAGAAGAACTTCCTCTCATCAACTATTTGGTTTAACCTAAAGTAGAATTCACTTGGGAAAGATAGGATAAACGCTTGACTTTTTTTTTTCCTTTTTTAAACTACTTTTTAAAAATCATGGATTGATTTATTCACCAATGTTCACTGCAGCATTATCCACAACAGCAAAAAAGTGGAAACAACCCAAATGCCCATTGACAGATGAATGGATAAACAAAATATGGTATATACATGCAGTGGAATATTATTTAGCCATAAAAAAGGAATGAAATACTGGTACATGCTACAACATGAATGAACCTTGAAAACATTGAATGTTTTCTAAATGAAGTCACAAAGGACCACATTTGTATGATTCCATTTATGTGAAACATCCAGAAAAATCCATCGATATAAAAAGTAGATTAGTGTTTGCCAGGGCTAAGAAAAGGGGGAAATGAGGCATGACAGCTTAATACATATGGGGTCTGCTTTTGGGGTGATGAAAATGTTCTGGAACTAAATAGTGGTGATAGTTGTACAAAATGTGACTGTACTAAATGCCACTAAACTGCATACTTTAAAAATGGTTAAAAAGGTGAATTTTATGTTATGTGACATTTTCCACAATAAAAAATAGCTAAAACATGAAAAAAAAATCATGAATCAGTTCCCTTCTATTACAACTAATGCAGTTTTATTTTTAAAGTATCATTAAATCTCATGGGTTTTACACTGTAGTTATTATCCTTATTGATGCTTAAATGTTAATAAGAACTCTCTCACTATTATGAGAGCCTATTTAAGCTATCTCCAAGTCCCTTTGACATGACTCTCATCTTTTATAACTGGTTTTCTGACACAACAAAATAATCCAAGATCACCTTGTTCAATTTGTCTTAACTTGAAATCAGACACTTTTCCAAGGAACCCTGTTCCTTTTAGTGGGGTCCTATGAAACCACAATATAGATGCCAGGAGTATTCATTGCTACTGCATCAGTTATTAGTTTGGTTAGAGAGAACAAGAAAAGTATCTTTCACAGTACAATGTGGTACAGATCAGAAAAGATTAGCCATGAGCTGGTAACTAACTGATAAATGATGGATACACAGGGATTTATTATACTATTCTCTCTTTTTTTTTTTAAGACTTATTTATTTATTTATTTGACAGAGAGAGACACAGCGAGAAAGGGAATACAAGCAGGGGGAGTGGGAGAGGGAGAAGCAGGCTTCCTGGCTGAGCAGGGAGCCCGATGCGGGGCTCGATCCCAGGACCCTGGGATCATGACCTGAGCTGAAGGCAGACACTTAACGACTGAGCCACCCAGGTGCCCCTACGCTATTCTCTTTACATACACACACACACAGTAAACATTTCCATAATAAAAAGGTTTTTTTTTAATTACATACAAAACATAATTATATATATAAGACAGCATGAAATTCAGAAGAAGATTATGTAGTTCCTGTACAAATCCCTTAATGGCTACAAGTGTCATACAGTAGGAAAAACACACAAAACTTTCTGAAAGAGTAAAGACCTGGTGGTACATATAACTTTTTAAAATTCACATCAAAGTTTTATATCTCTATATCTGAACAGTCCATTTCCCCATTAGAAGCAGCAAAACAGAATAAAAACAATACTCACCCATATCTTTGGAACTGATAGTCAAATGTTAACTCTGAGCCTGAAGGAACCAGTTTGGTGGTAAAAAACCCGACCCTCAGTTGTCCGTTCACAGTCCACTGAGATATTGTTTTTAAAAGAAAAGAAATTAGTAACTAATTAATCTGTGTTTTTCTTTAAAGATCCTCTGCCTTAATTATGCATGTGCCTTTAGACAATAAAAGCTTTTCCAAATAACAAATAGGGAACTTTTTTCTTTTTTTTTTTATTATGTTCAGTTAGCCACTGTATAGTACATCATTAGTTTGTTGTTTTTTTTTTTAAAGATTTTATTTATTTATTTGAGAGAGAGAGAGAGCACAAGCAGGGGGAGCAGGAGGAGAGGGAGAAGCAGGCTCCCCGCTGAGCAGGGAGCCCGATATGGGGCTTGATCCCAGGACCCTGGGATCATGATCTGAGCCGAAGGCAGACGCTTAACCATCTGAGCCACCCAGGCGCCCCAGTACATCATTAGTTTTTGATGTAGTGTTCAATGATTCATTAGTTACATATAACACCCAGTGCACATGGAGAAATCAGAGAGGGAGATGAACCATGAGAAACTATAGACCCTGGGAAACAAACTGAAATGAGACGAAGGGGGGGGAGGGGGTAACAGGGTGACGGGAACTTTTTTCTTTAAATAAACTAACATATTTAAGTGTATTAAGTGTTACTCTTCTTATTTAATACCACCAGATTGGGTATCATCTATAATTTGTCTCTAATAAAAGTAACTGCTACTTTAACTTGTCTAATATATTTCCACACCATAAATATTCACTTGTACTAAAAACAGACAAATAGGGAATGCTTGGTATCATTGACTATTATAAGCAAATTGGTATTGCCTTATGTTATGTTAAAAGTAAATGTATTCTAAGATAAAATGGAGCATGGAACCATGTAAACAATGATGCCAAATGTTTAATTTCATGAAGCAGAAGTCATATGTCATATGAGTGTAGTGAAAGGGAAGGAAAGCATGAGAACAGATGCATGAAACTCAAGAATTAAAATGGGAGTAAACAGACAGGGGTTAGAACTTGTAGCTCCAGAACATGTAAGATGTAACTCAACTGTCGAGCTCCTGTCCAGACCATGTTAACATGTTACTGATGAAAAAACCCAGCCTTTAGGAGATGAAGGGACACAGTATAGTTGGAGTCTCACAATTAGACATATGGCCACCAGCTGCAGGCAAAACTAGAACCAGAACTTAGGTTAAATGATTATGGACTGGGTTCTCCTACTCTTAGAAGAGCCATATTTAAGGTCTATTAGTACACAGATCAAAGGACAAAAAATACCAGGAGTCTAAAACACTATTTTAATATGAGAGGGAACCATTGTTATTACTTCTCTAGGGAGTGGGTCCATAGCCTTCTTAGCCTAAAAAAGAACGAATGTTCTAACATATATATATATAGTTTCATCTAAGCTCAAAACACAAATCAGAGAGTACTAAAATCATTATCTCAAATGTTTTATCAAATTCAAATAATGAATTTATCAAGTGTCAACTATGTGCCAGGCACAGGGACACAGAGCTAAGCAAGACCCAGAGCCTAGCCTTGTTGAGAAGCAGTGTAACCACATGTACATCACATGTAATCCCTCTCATCTGTGGCTATTCAGCCCCTTCTGTTATTAAAACAGCCATATTTGGCACCGGGATAAGAGCTGATAAAAATCTGAATATAACAGTACACGATGGACTTCATCAAAATAAAATTTCAGTTTTGTATTTTGGTACCTTTGAAATAATAGCTAAAATTTATGGGCAAAGAGAGGTGACAGTTAAATGCAATGGGAGTTCCTGGATTGGATCCTAGTCCAGAAAAATGACAGACGGCAAAATCTGAATAAAGACTTTAGTTAACAGTTAACAGTATTTCTTGGATTGGGTAATTGTATAATGGTTATGTACAATGTGAGCATTTGGGGAAGGTAGGTGACGTATATGGAACTCTGTATTGTTTCTGCACTATTTTATAAATCTAAACTTATTTCAAAGTAAGATTTTTAACAATAGAGTAGGAAAAAACAATTAAAATGATTAAAAAAATAAAATCCACAGGTACCCTTGATGGACTTGATGTAGAATCTAAAATTAAGAGAACAGCAATCTTGAACAAATATCCCAAACTCTAAATCTACCTCAACTCACTTTTTGAGTTTCACAGTTTGGCTCACAGCTGTGATTCATGAAACGAGAGCAGTTTCCTTTCTGAGTGGCATCTATTATCTAGGGAAAGGATCATTTTAAGAATTAGAAATGAGACCTTAAAATGCATGTATATTTTGCAAAGGAAAGGCATTAGGCAACGTATGACCTGCATTCCCAACCCCTCCTCCTCTTTCATGTACAGACACATCCAAGTGACAAATATCCAACTGCTTCCTCTGGGAGATCTGCTAACTTATAAACATCTTACTTATAAACAAAATTATCTCCATATCTATCAATAGCTCTTCCATTTACTTTTAGCTACTTCTTACATCCTCTTATATTCCAATCTCACTTCATGGGTATAAAACTCCATTGTAAAGTGCACGTTATACCACAGTGCAGTAGCTCTCAAACTAGAGTGTATATCTGTATTCCCTGGAGAGCTTGTTAAAGTTCCTGCTGGACCCACCCCCAGAGTTAGATTCAGCAGGTCCTGGGGTAGGACCTAGAATTACATTTTCCAGGACTGAATATAGTGACAGATATGAGAATCTAGCTAAATTTTATTATACCAGACATTAAAGAGATTTATAAAAATGTAAAACAATGGCACTCCTCATGTTTAAAACAAAAATTATTTGAAGATGCTTTATTTTCATAAAAACACTAATGTCAACATATAATGGGCTTATTACTTTTCAGTGGTTTAATAAATATTTTTCAATTTCTCAGCTTTAATTTTTATGTAAGTATTGACAAATATAACCCATATCAAAAAACCTCTTTGGGGGCATCAGTAATTTTTTTTTTTTTTTAAAGATTTTATTTATTTATTCATGAGAGACAGAGAGAGAGAGAGGCAGAGGGAGAAGCAGGCTCCCAAGGAGCAGGGAGCC